AATAAGAAAAAACTCACAGTGGTCGGAAAAATTAAAGAACTTGGCAGTATTTCCAAATGTTTTCATTCATGTTCACAGGTGAAGTTAACAATGAAGACAAATACAGCAGTAATACAAGTAGGCCATGGAACAGACTGCTATTCTAATACATATAGCAATATGTTTATGTTAAAAGAAGATAAAGACATTCCTGTACTATGGAAAAACAAATTAAGGAATAAGATGTTCTTTTAGTATTTCAATTAAGTACCATCATTAAGTGCACCAAATCTCAGATTTTTCAATTCATGCATTTAAAGAGGGCAATTTTTACCAATGAGCATTCTTGAAAAGATGTTTTAAAAATATTTGCAAATTAAAAATGGGGAAATCAGTCCATACCAAAAAATCACTGCATTTCACTATTATTTTATCTCTAAAGACCTAATTTAGGTCACAGGAAGCTAATCCCAGCTCCATCTTTATTCAAATCAGAACATTCCACTACCACACAATATGCTGGGGCCAAACATGCTCTGACTGCAATTAAGCAAGAAATTCAGCAGCACGTTTAGTTGTACTGTCCTCAGGTTTGATACAGATCTTATTTATGAAGCAGAGAAATTTTGAATGGTATACAAAAAAAGTAATGTCATTGGTAGAGAAGCTACAAGAAACAAGAAATATTAGATTATACTTCAGGGGTGTAAAAACTATGCATGTTTGGCTTATCAGAATGGTATCACACAACAGAAGACAGAATCATAGGCTGGTAAGGGACCTCAGAGGTCAGCTAGTCCAATCCCCAGCATAAATGCAGGAATGCTATTCTTAAACAATCCCTGTCAAATATTTATCCAGTTGCCTCTTAAAACTACCAGGAGATACTCTACAGCTTCCCTAGGCAGTCTATTCCACTACCTAACTGTTCCAACAGTAAGGAAGCTTTAAAGGGTAGCCTTTAAAATATTTGAACACTGCAATAATGTCTCCCCCTTAAGCTCTTTTTCTCCAAGCTACATATGCAAAGCTTTGTCAGTCTCTCTATGTATAGCTTGCCTTCCAACCCCCTTATTATTTGTTAGCCACCTCAGGATCCTCTGTCCACATCCTCTTAAAGTTTGGAGCCCAGAAATGCACACAGGCCTCTGGCCATGAAGAGGCATTTATTTCTAGCAGTAAGAAATTACCCTAATCATTCCAACTCCCCCTCCCCCCTTTGACTACTCCTTCCTGTCTGAGCCCCAAGAGGCATGGCAGTATGGCACAGGAGCAGAGGCACGAAAAGTTAAGGAAATTAACCCAGGTATGCATCCCCCAGGCACTTGTAGTTGGACAGCCCTGATATAAAGAATGAACAGGTTTTTAAAAAGTTATATGCACTGACTTCACATTTCCATAGGATTTGGCATCCTTAGTATCCCATTGTACACATGGCCAATGTGATTTTGTAGAATATTCACTAATGTTTTAATCTGAGTGTCTAGCTACTTATGCAGTCACATATCTTACTATCATATGTAAATTTGCTCCTACATTTATTTTACTAGTATTGGCATTTAAAATCAGATGTAGATTCAGTCTCTGTTGTCCCACCCACTAATTTACTCTAATGGAGGTATACTCATTTTCAATCTTCCCTTAAGATATATGCATATTAATAAACGTAAGTTACTACAGTGTTCCATAACCCAGAATAAAGGCTTTAAAGGCTCTAACATGAGGGAGAAAATAAAACAGAACAAGATTGATTACTTGTCACCCGATCAAGCCATATATCAGTTCATTAGTATATGAACTTACCACTTTGGCTAGTAGATTTTAACCACAATGCTTTATGAATTTTGATATCTTTTATAAAAGATGTCAGATTCACCCAAAGAACCTTGTCTACAAGGGGATAGAGATTTTTTTTTTAGCTAACATTTCTTGTTATGTAGGTAACCCAAAAATCTCTATGGCATTTCCCTTCATCACCTTCATGCTCTAAAGCAAGCATAAACATGTATTGCCAAGAACCCCAGGAGGGAAACATACCAAATCACAGTTGCTTCTTTAAGTTGAATTATTTGTTGTCGGAATCACAACTGCTGTTTCCAAAGTCTGAAAGTCAGTTTCATATGTTGTTTATTAATAAAGGCCTCTGCTTAGATAGTAGGCTCTGTCCCAATTATGCAGCGACTTCCAGAGAAAATCCAAAAATTAAGTAACTTTTGAAGGAATATTGGATCTTCAGCTACCCGTTTACGCCTAAGGAGCCATTTTCAATCCTTAAATGCCATGCTTATTACACAAAAGTAATTAGATCCTATCTCTTTTTCCTCAAACCAAGCCATACAGTAAAAACCTCTCTTCTTCTCCATGAGGAACAGAATTTGGGGATTATGCAAGATCATGTATTCTGTGACTAATATACCCAGCTCAGTGGAAACTTCCAGCACATCATCATTCAAAAGACAGTGGCAATTCAGTTAATTAGTTGCTTTGCAGATCTACTGGCAAGTCCTCTTGGTACGGGGAAACTACAAAAAGATATTACTCAAGCCCCGAGTTTAGAACAGAACAGGTCTGCCACCCATCTGTGGCCTTTTAGAAGATTTTTCTCTGACATCGGGACCTTTACAAATTTCTCTGTGCATCTCCTATATCAACACAATTAGACATTTGGACTTGGAACACTACTCAGTAGTAGAGGTAGAGGTACCTTTACCTCTGATTTCCATTATGCACTCAGCATCTGGGAACCAAGGATAAGGATCCCTTAAACTAGGAAGAGGCACTTGTTAGGGTCTATGATCCAGCACTGGATCAGAGACCCTGATGATGGCTGGGCCAAGCACCAGAGCCACTACACCTGCCCCTGATCCCTGGCTAATACAACTTCCCCAGTTCTCTGCAGCTGGATTGGCTGCCAAGTGTCACTCACCCCTTATAAGTCTCATGCTACAGACACACTGACACAGCCTCACTATGTTCCAGCAAGCCTTGTGTTCATAGCTCTCCCTGGTTCTCCCGATTCCTGACCCTAGCTTTGGCTTTCCTGACCCTGATCTTGAATCTCCCCTGCATCTCAGTACTGGTTCTACTCTCTCTGGTTTCCTGGCACCTCAATTCAGCTCAGCTTCCTTGACCCCAGTCTCAAATCTTGGCACCAGCTCTAACCTTAGCTCCTCACCCTGTCTTACATCTCTGACTATGTCTCTGGGATCTCTTCTCTCCACTCCCCTGGAGCCCGGGCCCACACTCTCTGCTCCACTGACCCAGGCCCCAATCTGATGATCCAGTAATTTGTGCCCCCATCCTGCTGACTCCCTAGTTGTCCCTCAGGACCTATCTTTCTGCAATCCTGGCCACATACATCCCAGCTGAACCCTTAGAGCAATGTATCATGTCTGTATTTCTCTGGGGGCACAACTGCTGTAAAATTTAAGCTCAGTTCTCATTTATGAAGAGCTTCCAATCAAGTCAAATTGACAGAAATACCACACGAATAAACTGGCACACAAATGAAAACAGTAAGGAGGTGTGAACTGCACCAAGTAGGTTCAATCAAAGGCACTGTAATTGTATATTAAGCCTAGTTTTAACAGCAATGCCACTTACTATTTCAATATAGGAATGTCCTGCTATTCTAGAGTCATGCAGGACAGAGATGCAGAATGCAAAGTCTAGGAGGAATGCTTACAGTTATATTTTCCAGTGGAAGGCCACCCAATATGCATGCAGTCTGGCTAACTCACCAAGCCACAGATAAGCCTGGTGGGCTGCATGAAGCCCAGGTGTTGTGCACTACCACTATTTAACTTCAGTGACATCCTGACTAGTAAACCAAGAGCCTGACATTACACTAGGGATGGGGATGGTCTCCTCTGCCAGCTTAAAACCTTGGCTACATATAAAAACGGTGTGGTATGTGCAGTGCGTCTCTGCAAAACACCATCATTTTGTTTCAACATTTTGAAGGGACAGTGTTTCGTTTCGTCATTTTGTTTAGTTTAGTTGAAACTGTTGCGCTGTTTTGACACGTTTTGATGTTTCGCCCGTAGGCTATAATGGGGAATCATGAAAATGCTTCAAACTTTGTCATTTTTTGCCCGATTTTGGTGAAAATTGTAGGAATGGTAGCTCCTTCTGAGGGCACAAAGCCTGCCAAGTTTCAAGGATAGAGGTGCAGAGGTTTCTGGGAAACTACCCCTTAAATTGTTCAAAACACAACTCTTGACACTTGCCAGCAGTGGCAGCCTCCGCTCATCCAGTGCACAGATCTGGGATCTCCCAAACCCTCGGGAGAAGTCTGGCACAGCCCAGCAGCCCTCCAGGGATGCAAGGCCCCAGATCTGCCCACCAGATGAGAGGAGGCTGACACCTGGGACTGGCACTGAAGCCAAGTAAGCCCAGCTACAAAACATTTTGAAACCTTTTGAGCACCCCCGTTTTGTTTCAAAGCCTATTGTTTTGTTTCAATTTTGCTGTTTCGAGCTCATGAGATGTCAAAAAAGCTTCAAAATGAAACACCTGGCAAAATTTCACACAGCCCTAATGTGCAGTTGTCTATGTGAATTGCAGCAATGTACTCCTTAAATTAAGGAGTAGCTTTTTCCAGTTTCATCATATTTAACAGACTCATAACTCATCTATAAATAAACAAAAATGGAATAACTCAATTTTACTCCAATATTTAGAAATTTATCCAAGAATGGGGTTGGACTAGATGCCCTATGGAGATCCATCCCCACACTCCAAATTAGCTAAAGCCAACACCTGACATGGATTACATTCAGAAAAAAAAAAAAGTAATAAGAGCACTCTTATTCTGGACATGATTATTTTGGAACAGAATGCCTGCTAGCTACCTTTTGGGTGGTAATATGTTTTGGGAGGAGAAAGAAAAAGTGAGCAAGTGAGTTCCCAGACAAGAGTCAGCCTTTCTTTACATTTTGAACACAGTAGAACTTCAGTAGTTCTCTGTTCATACTAAACAAAGGATTCTGAAAGAGAGATGGTAAAGAAGGAAAACCTACCTGCAATAGGCACATATCCAACTCCTTGCTGGTACACTGTGGGCATCAGGACCACTGGCTGGGGCTGCATCATCATAGCAGCTGGTACAGACTTGACAGGAAAAAAGATGACAGAAAAATGTAAGATTATTCCAGAAAGATAAAAACCAAAAACATCTGCACAAAATTCTTGCATCTTGCTAGTTAATGCACAATGGTTAATACCAAGAAATTAAATTTTCTGCAATGGGTACTAACCTATGAAGTAGCATGACTCAAGAAATCAACCAAATTGCGATCTGACATAAGTGAATCTGAAACTTATTATAGCATAGTGCTAACAAATCAAATCATATCAACCTTTTGTGACGCATCAAAAAATTAGGTATTCATTTGCTTCAGTATTAAGTGGGAAATCTGAACTCCAAGATGATTTCCATACTTTATTTCATATTTTTTGCTTCATTTCACAAAATGTACAGAACTTTTGTTACAGAAGATTCACAAAGGGCTCTAATTTCTACCACTAAGAAAAGGGACCTATTTCTCCAAGTCAAACCCAGGTGGATTATTTTGAAGAGACAAAAGGAGTGAACACTGCTTTAGGAACCAAGTTTCAATTTATCTAGACACTTGAAAGTATTTGTAAAAAGTTGTTGCAACTGATCAGAACGAGCAGAAGATCATGATTACCCAAGTCTACATCCACAGATGCATCTCAAGCAGGTCCAAGGAGGTGATCCTCCCCCTCTATGCGGCACTGGTCAGGCCGCAGCTGGAGTACTGTGTCCAGTTCTGGGCGCCGCACTTTAAGAGGGATGTGGACAGCATCGAGAGGGTCCAGAGGAGGGCCACTCGTATGATCAAGGGACAGCAGGGTAGGTCCTGTGAGGAAAGGTTGCGGGACCTGAACCTGTTCAGCCTTCAAAAGAGAAGGCTGAGGGGGGGATCTTGTGGCCTGTTA